CCTGGCCGCTCACCTGGCCGCTCGCCTGGTCGTTCGCCTGGTCGCTCGCCCGGCCGCTCGCCTGGCCGCTCGCCTGGCCCCTCGCCTGGCCACTCCCCTTGCCGCTCGGCTGGCCGTTAGGCTTTGAGCGCCGGCTTTGAGGACTGGATTTGAGCGCAGGCTCTGAGCACAGGCTCTGAGCACCGGCTCGCCTGGCCGCTCGCCTGGCCGCTCGCCTGGCCGCTTGCCTGGCCGCTCGCCAGACCGCTCGCCTGGTCGCTCGCCTGGCCGCTCGCCTGGCCGCTCGGCTGGCTGCTAGTCTTTGAGCGCCGGCTCTGAGCGCCGGCTCTGAGCGCCGGCTCGCCTGGCCACTCGCCTGGCCGCTCGCCTGGCCGCTCGCCTGGCCGCTCGCCTGGCCGCTCGCCTGGCCGCTCGCCCGGCCGCTCGCCTGGCCGCTCGCCTGATCGCTCGCCTGGCCGCTCGCCTCGCCACTCACCTGGCCGCTCGCCTGGCCGCTCGCCTGCACGCTCGCCTGGTCGCTCGCCTGGTCGCTCGCCTGGCCGCTCGGCTGGGCGCTCGTCTTTGAGCGCCGGCTTTGAGCACCGGCTCTGAGCGACGGTTCTGAGCGCCGGCTCTGAGCGCCGGCTATGAGCGCCGCCTCTGAGCGGCGGGCCTGAGCGCCGGCCCTGAGCGCCGGCCCGCCTGGCCGCTCGCAATGCCGCTCGCCTGGCCACTCGCGCGGCCGCTCGCCTGGCCGCTCGCCTGGCCGCTTGCCTGGCCGGTCGCCTGGCCGATCGCCTGGCCGCTCGCCTGGCTGCTCAACTGGCCACTCGCCTTGCCGCTCGGCTGGCCGTTAGGCTTTGAGCGCCGGCTTTGAGCGCCGGCTTTGAGCGCCGGCTTTGAGCACTGGATTTGAGCGCAGGCTCTGAGCGCCGGCTCTGAGCGCCGGCTTTGAGCGCCGGCATTGAGCGCTGGCTCTGATCCCCGGCTCTGAGCGCCGGCTCGCCTGGCCGCTCGCCTGACCGCGTGCCTTGCCGCTCTCCTGGCCGCTCACCTGGCCGCTCGCCTGGTCGTTCGCCTGGTCGCTCGCCCGGCCGCTCGCCTGGCCGCTCGCCTGGCCCCTCGCCTGGCCACTCCCCTTGCCGCTCGGCTGGCCGTTAGGCTTTGAGCGCCGGCTTTGAGGACTGGATTTGAGCGCAGGCTCTGAGCACAGGCTCTGAGCACCGGCTCGCCTGGCCGCTCGCCTGGCCGCTCGCCTGGCCGCTTGCCTGGCCGCTCGCCAGACCGCTCGCCTGGTCGCTCGCCTGGCCGCTCGCCTGGCCGCTCGGCTGGCTGCTAGTCTTTGAGCGCCGGCTCTGAGCGCCGGCTCTGAGCGCCGGCTCGCCTGGCCACTCGCCTGGCCGCTCGCCTGGCCGCTCGCCTGGCCGCTCGCCTGGCCGCTTGCCAGGCCGCAAGCCTGGCCGCTCGCCTGGTCGCTCGGCTGGCCGCCGCTCATCTTTGAGAGCCGGCTTTGAGCACCGGCTCTGAGCACCGGCTCTGAGGGACGGTTCTGAGCGCCGGTTCTGAGCGCGAGCTCTGAGCACCGGCTCTGGGCGCCGGCTCTGAGCGCCGGGTCTGAGCGCCGGCTATGAGCGCCGGCTCTGAGCGCCGGGCCTGAGCGCCGGCCCTGACCGCCGGCCCGCCTGGCCGCTCGCAATGCCGCTCGCCTGGCCACTCGCCTGGCCGCTCGCCTGGCCGCTCACCTGGTCGCTCCCCTGGCCTGGCCACTCGCGCGGCCGCTCGCCTGGCCGCTCGCCTGGCCGCTCGCCTGGCCGCTCGCCTGGCCGCTCGCCTGGCCGCTCGCCTGGCCGCTCGCCTGGCCGCTCAACTGGCCACTCGCCTTGCCGCTCGGCAGGCCGTTAGGCTTTGAGCGCCGGCTTTGAGCGCCGGCTTTGAGCACTGGATTTGAGCGCAGGCTCTGAGCGCAGGCTCTGAGCGCAGGCTCTGAGTGCGGCTCTGAGCGCCGGCTCTGAGCGCCGGCTCTGAGCGCTGGCTCTGAGCCCCGGCTCTGAGCGCCGGCTCGCCTGGCCGCTCGCCTGGCCGCTCGCCTGGCCGCTCGCCTGGCCGCTCTCCTGGCCGCTCGCCTGGTCGTTCGCCTGGTCGCTCGCCTGGCCGCTCACCTCGCCGCTCGCCTGGCCACTCGGCTGGCTGCTCGGCTCTGAGCGCCGGCTCTGAGCGCCGGCTCTGGGCGCCGACTCTGAGCCGGAGTTTAGAGCCGGCCACTCGCCTGGCTGCTCGCCCGGCCGCTCGCCTGGCCGCTCGCCTGGCCCCTCGCCTGGCCACTCGCCTTGCCGCTCGGCTGGCCGTTAGGCTTTGAGCGCCGGCTTTGAGGACTGGATTTGAGCGCAGGCTCTGAGCACAGGCTCTGAGCACAGGCTCTGTGCGCCGACTCTGAGCCGGAGTTTAGAGCCGGCCGTTCGCCTGGCTGCTCGCCCGGCCGCTCGCCTGGCCACTCGCCTGGCCGCTCGCCTGGCCGCTCGCCCGGCCCCTCGCCTGGCCACTCGCCTTGCCGCTCGGCTGGCCGTTAGGCTTTGAGCGCCGGCTTTGAGGACTGGATTTGAGCGCAGGCTCTGAGCACAGGCTCTGAGCGCCGGCTCGCCTGGCCGCTCGCCTGGCCGCTCGCCTGGCCGCTCGCGTGGCCGCTCGCCAGACCGCTCGCCTGGTCGCTCGCCTGGCCGCTCGCCTGGCCGCTCGGCTGGCTGCTCGTCTTTGAGCGCCGGGTCGCCTGGCCACTCGCCTGGCTTATCGCCTTGCCGCTCGCCTCGCCGCTCGCCTGGCCGCTTGCCTGGCCGCTCGCCTTGTCGCTCGCCTGGCCGCTCGTCTGGCCGCTCGTCTTTGAGCGCCGGCTTTGAGCACCGGCTGTGAGCGCCAGCTCTGAAGGACGGTTCTGAGCGCCGGTTCTGAGCGCCAGCTCTGAGCGCCGGCTCTGAGCGCCGGCTCTGAGCGCCGGGTATGAGCGCCGGCTCTGAGCGCCGGGCCTGAGCACCTGCCCTGACCGCCGGCCCGCCTGGCCGCTCGCAATGCCGCTCGCCTGGCCACTCGCCTGGCCGCTCGCCTGGCCGCTCACCTGGCCGCTCCCCTGGCCGCTCGCCTGGCCGCTCGCCTGGCCGCCCGCCTGGTCGCTCGCCTGGCCGCTCGCCTGGCCGCTCCCCTGCCTGCTCGCCTGGCTGCTCGCCTTGCCGCTCGCCTGGCCGCTCGCCTGGTCATTCACCTGGTCGCTCGCCTGGCCGCTCGCCTGGCCGCTCGCCTCGCCTCTCGCTTGGCCGCTCGACTGGCTGCTCGGCTGCCTGCTCGGCTGTGAGCAACGGCTGTGAGCGCCGGCTGTTAGCGCCAACTCTGAGCCAGAGTTTAGAGGCGGCCGCTCGCCGGGCCGCTCGCCTAGTCGCTCGCCTGGCCACTCGCCTTGCCGCTCGGCCGCCCGTAAGGCTTTGAGCGCCGGCTTTGAGCACTGGATTTGAGCGCAGGTTCTGAGCGCAGGCTCTGAGCACTGGCTCGCCTGGCCACTCGCCTCGCCGCTCGCCTGGCCGCTCGCCTGGTTGCTCGCCTGGCCGCTCACCTGGCCGCTCGCCTGGTCGCTCGCCTGGCCTCTCGCCTGGCCGCTCGGCTAGCTGCTCGTCTTTGAGCGCCGGCTCTGAGCGACGGCTCGCCTGGCCACTCGCCTGGCCGCTCGCCTGGCGGTTCGCCTGGCGGCTCGCTTGGCGGCTCGCCTGGCCGCTCGCCTGGCCGCTCGCCTGGCCGCTCGCCTGGCCGCTCGCCTGGTCGCTCGCCTGGTCACTCGCCTCGCCGCTCGGCTGGCCGCTCGTCTTTGAGCGCCGGCTTTGACCACCGGCTCGGAGCGCCGGCTCTGAACGACGGTTCTGAGCGCCGAGTGTGAGCGCCGGCTCTGAGCGTCGGCTCTTAGCGCCGGCTATGAGCGCCGGCTCTGAGCGCAGGGCCTGAGCGCCGGCCCTGAGCGCCGGCCCGCCTGGCCGCTCGCAATGCCGCTCGCCTGGCCACTCGCCTGGCCGCTCGCTTGGCCGTTCGCCTGGCGGCTCGCTAGGCGGCTCGCCTGGTCGCTCGCCTGGCCGCTCGGCTGACCGCTCGGCTGTGAGCGCCGGCTCTGAGCGCCAGCTCTTAGCGCAGTCTCTGAGCGCCGGCTTTGAGAGCCGGCTCGCCTTGCCGCTCGCCTGGCCGTTAGCCTGGCCGCTCGCTTGGCCGGTCGCCTGGCCGCTCGCCTGGCCGCTCGCTTGGCCGTTCGCCTGGCGGCTCGCTAGGCGGCTCGCCTGGTCGCTCGCCTGGCCGCTCGGCTGACCGCTCGGCTGTGAGCGCCGGCTCTGAGCGCCAGCTCTTAGCGCCGTCTCTGAGCGCCGGCTTTGAGAGCCGGCTCGCCTTGCCGCTCGCCTGGCCGTTAGCCTGGCCGCTCGCTTGGCCGGTCGCCTGGCCGCTCGCCTGGCCGCTCGCCTGGCCGCTCGCCTTGCCGCTCGCCTGGCCACTCGCCTGGTAGCTCGCCTGGCCGCTCGGCTAGCCGCTCGTCTTTGATCGCCGGCTTTGAGCAACCGCTCTGGGCGCCGGCTCTCAGCGACGGTTCTGAGCATCGGATCTGGGCGCCTGCTCTGGGTGCCGGCTTTGAGCGCCGGCTCTGAGCAGGCTCTGGCGCCGGCTCTGGCCGCTCGTCTGGCCGCTCGTCTGGTCTCTCGCCTGGTCGCTTGCCTGGCCGCTCTGCTGGCCGCTCGGCTTTGAGCGCCGGCTCTGAACGCAGGCTCTGAGCGCCGGCTCTGAGCTCAGGCTCTGAGCGCCGGCGCTCAGCTCCGGCTCTGAGCGCCGGCTCGCCTGGCCGCCCGCCTGGCCGCTCGCCTGCCTGCTCGCCTGCCTGCTCGCCTGGCTGCTCACCTGGTCGGTCGCCTGGCCGCTCGCCTGGCCGATCGCCTGGCCGCTTTTTTGGCCGCTCTGCTGGCAGCTCGGCTTTGAGCGCCGGCTCTGAGCGCAGGCTCTGAGCGCCGGCTCTAAACGCGGGCTCTGAGCGCCGGCTCTGAGCGCCGGCGCTCAGCTCCGGCTCTGAGCGCCGGCTCGCCTGGCCGCTCGCCTGGCCGCTCGCCTGCCTGCTCACCTGGCTGCTCGCTTGGCCGATCGCCTGGCCGCTCGCCTGGCCACTCGCCTTGCCGCTCGGCCGGCGTTAGGCTTTGAGCGCCGGCTTTGAGCGCAGGCTCTGAGCGTCGGCTCTGAGCGCCGGGTCTGAGCACCGGCTCGCCTGGCCGCTCGCCTGCCTGCTCGCCTGGCTGGTCGCCTTGCCGCTCGCCTGGCCGCTCGCCTGGCCGCTCGCCTGGTCGTTCACCTGGTCGCTCACCTTGCCGCTCGACTGGCCGCTCGCCTGGCTGCTCGCCTGGCCTCTCGCTTGGCCGCTCGGCTGGCCGCTCGGCTTTGAGCGCCGGCTCTGAGCGCCGGCTCTGAGCGCCGACTCTGAGCCGGAGTTTAGAGCCGGTCGCTCGCCTGGCCACTCGCCTTGCCACTCGGCTCGCCGTTAGGCTTTGAGTGCCGGCTTTGAGCACTGGATTTGAGCGCAGGCTCTGAGCGCAGGCTCTGAGCGCTGGCTCGCCTGGCCGCTCGCCTGGCCGCTCAAAGCCGGCGCTCAGAGCCGGCTCTGAGCCGGCTCTGGCGCCGGCTCTGGCCGCTCCCCTGGCCGCTCGTCTGGCCTCTCGCCTGGCCGCCTGCCTGGCTGCTCTGCTGGCCGCTCGGCTTTGAGCGCCGGCTCTTAGCGCAGGCTCTGAGCGCCGGCGCTCAGTTCCGGCTCTGAGCGCCGGTTAGCCTGGCCGCTCGCCTGCCCACTCGCCTGGCTGCTCGCCTGGCCGGTCGCCTGGCCGCTTGCCTGGCCGATCACCTAGCCGCTCGCCTGGCCACTCGCCTTGCTGCTTGGCTGGCCGTTAGGCTTTGAGCGCTGGATTTGAGGGCAGGCTCTTAGCGCCGGCTCTGAGCGCCGGGTCTGAGCGCCGGCTCGCCTGGCCGCTCGCCTGCCTGCACGCCTGGCTGGTCGCCTGGCCGCTCGCCTGGCCGCTCGCCTGGCCGCTCGTCTGGCCGCTCGCCTGGTCGTTCACCTGGTCGCTCACCTTGCCGCTCGCCTGGCCGCTTGCCTGGCCGCTCGCCTGGCGTCTCGCCTGGCCGCTCGCCTGGCCGCTCGGCTGGCCGCTCGGCTTTGAGCGCTGGCTCTGAGCGCCGACTCTGAGCCGGAGTTTAGAGCCGGCCGCTCGCCTGGCCACTCGCGTCGCCGCTCGGCTCGCTGTTAGGCTTTGAGCGCCGGCTTTGAGCACTGGATTTGAGCGCTGGCTCGCCTGGACGCTCGCCTGGCAGCTCAGAGCCGGCGCTCAGAGCCGGCGCTCAGAGCCGACGCTCCAATCCAGTGCTCAAAGCCGGTGCTCACAGCCTAACAGTCAGCCGAGCGGCAAGGCGAGCGGCGAGGCGAGCGGCCAGGCAAACGACCAGGCGAGCGGCCAGGCGAGCTGCCAGGCGAGCGGCCAGGCGAGCGGCTAGGCGAGCAGCCAGACGAGCGGCCAGGCGAGCGGCCAGGCGAGCGGCCAGGCGAGCCGCCAGGCGAGCGGCTAGGCGAGCGGCCAGGCGAGCGGCAAGGCGAGCGGCCGGGGTGAGCCGACGCTCAGAGCCGGCGCTCAAAGCCGAGCGGCCAGCCGGGTGGCCAGGCGAGCGGCCAGGTGAGCGGCCAGGCAAGCGGCCAGGCGAGCGGCAAGGAGAGCGGCCAGGCGAGCGGCCAGGCGTGCGGCCTGGCGAGCGGCCAGGCGAATCGGCGCTCAGAGCCGGCGCTCAGAGCCGGCGCTCAAAGACGAGCGGCCAGCCGAGCGGCCAGGCGAGCGACCAGGCGAGCGGCCAGGCGAGCGGCCAGGCAAGCGGCTAGGGGAGCGGCCAGGCGAGCGGCCAGGCGAGCGGCCTGACGAACGGCCAGGCGAGCGGCCAGGCGAGCGGCAAGGCGAGCGGCCGGGCGAGCCGACGCTCAGAGCCGGCGCTCAAAGCCGAGCGGACAGCCGAGTGGCCAGTCGAGCGGCCAGGGGAGCGGCCAGGCGAGCGACAAGGAGATCGGCCAGGCGAGCGGCGAGGCGTGCGGCCAGGCGAGCGGCCAGGCGAGCGGCCAGGCGAACCGGCGCTGAGAGCCGGCGCTCAGAGCCGACGCTCAAAGACGAGCGGCCAACCGATCGGCCAGGCGAGCGACCAGGCGAGCGGCCAGGCGAGCGGCCAGGTGAGCGGCCAGGCGAACGGCCAGGCGAGCGGCAAGGCGAGCCGACGCTCAGAGCCGGCGCTCAGAGCCGGCGCTCAAAGCCGAGCGGCCAGGCAAACGGCCAGATGAGCGGCCAGGCGAGCGACAAGGCGAGCGGCCAGGTTTACCGGCGCTCAGAGCCGGCGCTCAGAGCCGATGCTCCAATCCAGTGTTCAAAGCCGGCGCTAAAAGCCTAACAGCCAGCCGAGCGGCGAGGCGAGCGGCCAGCCGAGAGGCGAGGTGAGCAGCCAGGCAAGCGGCGAGGCGAGCGGCCAGGCGAGCGGCCAGGCGAGCGGCCAGGCTAGCAGCCAGGCGAGCGGCCAGGCGAGCGGCAAGGCGGGCGGTCAGGCGAGCTAGCGCTTAGAGCTGGCGCTCAGAGCCGGCGCTCAAAGCCGGCGCTCAAAGACGAGCGGCCACGCGAGCGACCAGGCGAGCGGCCAGGCGAGCGGCCAGGCGGGCGGCCAGGCGAGCGGCCAGGCGAGCGGCCGGGCGAGCGGCCAGGCGAGCGGCCAGGCGAACCGGCGCTCAGAGCCGGCGCTGAGAGCCGGCGCTCAGAGCCGATGCTCCAATCCAGTGCTCAAAGCCGGCGCTAAAAGCCTAACAGCCAGCCGAGCGGCGAGGCGAGCGGCCAGCCGAGCGGCGAGGTAAGCGGCCAGGCGAGCGGCGAGGCGAGCGGCCAGGCGAGCGGCCAGGCGAGCGGCCAGGCGATCGGCAATGCGAGCGGCAAGGCGGGCGGTCAGGCGAGCCAGCGCTTAGAGCTGGCGCTCAGAGCCGGCGCTCAAAGCCGATAGGCCAGGCGAGCGGTCACGCGAGCGGCCAGGCGAGCGGTTAGGCGAGCCGGCGCTCAGAGCCGACACCCAGAGCCGGCGCTCGGAGCCGGTGTTCAGAGCCGGCGTTCGGAGCCGGCGCGCGGAGCCGGCGCTCGGAGCCGGCGCTCAGAGCCGCCGCGCAGAGCCGGCGCTCAAAGCCCAGCGCGCAGTCGAGCGGCCAGGCGAGCGGCCAGGCGAGCGGCCAGGCTAACGGCCAGGCGAGCAGCCAGGCAAGCGGCCAGCCAAGCTGCAAGGCGAGCGGCGAGACGAGCGGCCAGCCGAGCGGCCAGGTGAGCGACCAGGCAAGCGGCCAGGCGTGCGGCCAGGCGAGCGGCCAGGCGAGCGGCCAGGTGAGCGGCCAGGCGAGCGGCCAGGCGAGCGGCCAGGCGAGCGGCAAGGCGTGCGGTCGGGGCGAGCCGACGCTCAGAGCTGGCGCTCAGAGCCGGCTGGCCGCTCGCCTGGTCGCTCGCCTGGCCGCTCGCCTGGCCGCTCGTCTTTGAGCGCCGGCTTTGAGCGCCGGCTCTGAGCGCCGGCCCGCTCGCCTGGCCGCTCACATGGTCGCTCGCCTGGCCGCTTGCCTGGCCGCTCGCCTGGCCGCTCCCCTGGCCGCTCGCCTGGCCGCTCGCCTGGCCGCTCGCCTGGCCGCTCGCCTGGTCGCTCGCCTGGCCGCCCGCCTGGCCGCTCAGCTGGCTGTTCGTCTTTGAGCGCGGGCTCTCAGCGCCGGCTTGACTGGCCGCTCGCCTGGCCACTCGCCTGGCCGCTCGCCTTTGAGCGCCGCCTTTGAGCGCCGGCTCTGAGCGCCGGCTCTCAGCGCCGGGTGTGCGCGCCAGCTCTGAGCGCCGGCTATGAGCGCCGGCTCTGAGCGCCGGGCCTGAGCGTCGGCCCTGAGCGCCGGCCCGCCTGGCCGCTCGCAACGCCGCTCGCCTGGCCGCTCGCCTGGTCGCTCGCCTGGCCGCTCACCTGGTCGCTCGCCTGGCCGCTCGCCTGGCCGCTCCTCTTTGAGCGCCGGCTTTGAGCGCCGGCTCTGAGCGCCGGCCCGCTCGCCTGGCCGCTCACATGGTCGCTCGCCTGGCCGCTCGCCTGACCGCTTGCCTGGCCGCTGGCCTGGCCGCTCGCCTGGCCGCTCGCCTGGCCGCTTGCCTGGCCGCTCGCCTGGCTGCTCGCCTGGCCGCTCGCCTGGCCGCTCGCCTGGTCGCTCGCCTGGCCGCCCGCCTGGCCGCTCGCCTGGCTGCTCGTCTTTGAGCGCGGGCTCTGAGCGCCGGCTCGCCTGGCCGCTCACCTGGCCGCTCACCTGGCTGCTCGGCTGACCGCTCGCCTCTGAGTGCGGCTCTGAGCGACGGCTCTGAGCGCCGGCTCTGAGCGCCGGTTCTGAGCGTCGGCTCTGAGCGCCTGGCAGCTCGCCTGGCCGCTCACCTGGCCGCTCGCCTGGCCTCTCGCTTGGCCGCTCGCCTGGGCGCTCGGCTTTGAGCGCTGGCTCTGAGCGCCGGCTGGTAGCGCCGGCTCTGAGCGCCGGCTGTGAGCACCGGCTCTCTGCGCCGGCTCTGAGCGCCGGCTTGCCCGGCCGCTCGCCTGGCCGCTTGCATTGCCGCTTGCCTGGCCGCTCGCCTGGCCGCTCGCCTCGCCGTTCGCCTGGCCGTTCGCCTGGCCACTGGCCTTGCCACTCGGCTGGCTGTTAGGCTTTGAGCGCAGGTTTGTGCACTGGATTTGAGCACAGGCTCTGAGCGCCGGCCCTGAGTGCCGGCTCGCCTGGCCGCTCACCTGGTCGCTCGCCTCGCCGCTCACTTAGCCACTCGCCTTGCCGCTCGCCTGGCCGCTCGCCTGGTCGCTCGCCTGGCCGCTCGGCTGGCCGCTCGCCTTTGAGCGCCGGCTTTGAGCAACGGCTCTGAGCGCCGGCTCTGAGCGACGGTTCTGAGCGCCGGGTGTGAGCGACGGCTCTGAGCGTCGGCTCTGAGCGTCGGGTCTGAGCGCCGGGCCTGAACGCTGGCCCTGAGCGCCGGCCCGCCTGGCCGCTCGCAACGCCGCTCGCCTGGCCGGTCGCCTGGTGGTTAGCATGGCCGCTCACCTTGTCGCTCGCCTGACCGCTCGCCTGGCCACTCGCCTGGTCGTTCGCCTGGTCGCTCGCATGGCCGCTCGCCTGGCCGCGACGCGGCTGCTAGTCTTTGAGCGCGGGCTCTGAGCGCCGGCTCGCCTGTCCGCTCGCCTGGCCGCTCGCCTGGTCGCTCTCCTGGCCGCTCGCCTGGCCGCTCGCCTGGCCGCTTGCCTGGCCGCTCGCCTGGCCGCTCGCCTGGCCCCTCGACTGGCCGCTCGGCTTTGAGCGCCGGCTCTGAGCGCCGGTTTCGAGCGCCTGCTCCGATCATCGGCTCTGAACGCCTGCTCGTCTGGCAACATGCCTGGCCGCTCGCCGTGCGGCTGGCCGGGCCGCTCGCCGTGCGGCTGGCCGGGCCGCTCGCCTGGCCGCTCGGCTCTGTGCGCCGGCTCTGAGCGCCGGCTCTGAGCGTCGGCTCTGAGCGCCGGCTCTGAGCGCCGGCCTTGAGCGCCGGCCTTGAGCGCCGGCTCTGAGCGCCGGCTCTGAGCGCCAGCTCGCCTGGCCGCTGGCCTGGCTGCTCGCCTGGCCGTTCGCCTGGCCGCTCGCCTGGTCGCTCGCCTGGCCGCTCGCCTGGCCGCTCGCCTTTGAGCGCCGGCTTTGAGCACCGGCTCTTAGCGCCGGCTCTGAGCGACGGTTCTGAGCGCCGCGTGTGAGCGCCGGCTCTGAGCGCCGGCTATGAGCGCCGGCTCTGAGCGCCGGGCCTGAGCGACGGCCCGCCTGGTCGCTCGCAACGCCGCTTGCCTGGCCGCTCGCCTGGCCGCTCGCCTGGCCGCTCGCTTGGGCGCTCGCCTAGACGCTCGCCTGGTTGCGCGCCTGGCCGCTCGCCTGGTCGCTCGCCTGGCCGCTCGCCTGGCCGCTCGCCTGGCAGCTCGCCTGGCCGCTCGCCTGGTCGCTCGCCTGGACGCTCGGCTGGCCGCTCGTGTTTGAGCGCGGGCCCTGAGCGCCGACTCGCCTGGCCGCTCGCCTGGCCGCTCGGCTGACTGCTCGGCTATAAGCGCCGCCTCTGAGCGCCGGCTCCCCTGGCCGCTCCCCTGGCCGCTCGCATTTGCCGCTCGCATTTGCCGCTCGCCTGGCTGCTCGCCTGGCCGCTCGTCTGGCCGCTCGCCTTGCCGCTCGCCTGGCCGCGCGCCCGGCCGTTTGCCTGGGCGCTCTGAGCGCCGGGTGTGAACGCCTGGTCGCTCGCCTGGCCGTTCGCCTGGCCGCTCGCCTGGCCGCTCGCCTGGCCGCTCGCCTGGCCGCTCACCTGGCCGCTCGCTTGCCGTTCACCTGGCCGCTCGGCTGGCTTTTAGGCTTTGAGCACCGGCTTTGAGCACTGGATTTGAGCACAGGTTCTGAGCGCCGGCTCTCAGCGCCGGCTCTCAGCGCCTGGCCGCGCGCCTGGTCGTTCGCCTGGGCGCTCTGAGCGCCGGGTGTGAACGCCTGGTCGCTCGCCTGGCCGCTCGCCTCGCCGCGCGCCTGGCCGCTCGCCTGGCCGTTAGCCTCGACGCTCGCCTAGCCACTCGCCTGGCCGCTCGCCTGGCCGCTCGCCTTGTCGCTCGTGTGGTTGCTCGCCTGGCCGCTCGCCTTTGAGCGCCGCCTTTGAGCACCGGCTCTGAGCGCCGGCTCTGAGCGCTGGGTGTGAGCGCCGGCTCTGAGCGCCGGCTATGAGCGCCGGCTCTGAGCGCCGGCCCTGAGCGCCGGCCCGCCTGGCCGCTCGCAACGCCGCTCGCCTGGCCGCTCGCCTGGTCGCTTGCCTGGTCGCTCACCTGGTCGCTCGCCTGGTCGCTCGCCTGGCCGCTCGCCTGGCCGCTCGTCTTTGAGCGCCGGCTCTGAGCGCTGGCCCGTTCGCCTGGCCGCTCACATGGTCGCTCGCCTGGCCGCTCGCCCGGCCGCTTGCCTGGCCGCTCGCCTGGCCGCTCGCCTGGCCCCTCGCCTGGCCGCTCGCCTGGCCGCTTGCCTGGCCGCTCGCCTGGCCGCTCGCCTGGCCGCTCGCCTGGCCGCTCGCCTGGCCGATCGCCTGGCTGCTCGGCTGACCGCTCGGCTCTGAGCGACGGCTCTAAGCGCCGGCTCTGAGCGTGGGTTCTGAGCGTCGGCTCTGAGCGCCGGGTGTGAGCGCCGGCTCTGAGCGCCGGCTATGAGCGCCGGCTCTGAGCGCCGGGCCTGAGCGCCGGCCCTGAGCGCCGGCCTGCCTGGCCGCTCGCAACGCCGCTCGCCTTGCCGCTCGCCTGGTCGCTCGCCTGGCCGCTCACCTGGTCGCTCGCCTGGTCGCTTGCCTGGCCGCTCGCCTGGCCGCTCGTCTTTGAGCGCCGGCTTTGAGCGCCGGCTCTGAGCGCCGGCTCGCATGGCCGCTCGCCTGGCCGCTCGCTTGGCCGCTTGCCTGGCCGCTCGCCTGGTCACTCGCCTGGGTGCTCGCCTGGCCGCTCCACTTTGAGCGCCGGCTTTGAGCGGCGGCTCTGAGCGCCGCACCTGAGCGCCGGCCCGCCTGTCCGCTCGCAATGCCGCTCGCCGGGTCGATCGCCTGGCCGCTCGTCTGGCCGCTCGCCTGGCCGCTCGCCTGGCCGCTCTGAGCGCCGGCTCTGAGCGCCGGCTCTGAGCGCCGGCTCTGAGCGTCGGCTCTGAGCGCCGGCTTTGAGCGCTGGCTCTGAGCGCCGACTCTGAGCGCCGGCTCTCCAGGCCGCTCGCCTGGCCGCTCGCCTGGTGGCTCGCTTGGCCGCTCGTCTGGCCGCGAGCGGCCAGGCGAGCGGCCGGCTCGCCTGGCCGCTAGCCTGGCCGCTCGCCTGGCCGCTCGCCTGGCCGCTCGACTGACCCCACGGCTGGCTGTTAGGCTTTGAGCGCAGGCTTTGAGCACTGGATTTGAGCACAGGCTCTGAGCGCTAGGCGTGAGCGCGGCGGCAATGAGCCCGGGCCCGCCTGGCCACTCGCCTGGCCGCTAGCCTGGCCGCTCGCCTGGCCCCTCGCCTGGCCGCTTGCCTGGCCGCTGGCCTGGTCGCTCGCCTGGCCGCTCAGCTGGCCGCTCGTCTTTGAGCCCGGGCTCTGAGCGTCGGCTCGCCTGGCCGCTCACCTGGCCACTCACTTGGCCGCTCGGCTGACCGCTCGGCTCTGAGCGCCGGCTTTCAGCGCCGGCTCTGAGCGCCGGCTCGCCTGGCCGCTCGCCTGGCCGCTCGCCTGGCCGCTTGCCCGGCCGCTCGCCTGGCCGCTCGCCTGACCGCTCGCCTGGTCACTCGCCTGGCCGCTTGCCTGGCCGCTCGCCTGGCCACTCGTCTTTGATCGTGGGCTCTGAGCGCTGGCTCGCCTGGCCGCTCGCCTGGACGCTCGCCTGGACGCTCGCCTGGACGCTCGGCTGACCGCTCGGCTCTAAGCGCCGGCTCGCCTGGCCGGTCGCATTGCCGCTCGCCTGGCCGCTCGCCTGGCCGCTCGCCTGGCCACTCGCCTGGCCGCTCGCCTGGCCGCTCGCCTTGCCGCTCGGCTGGCTGTTAGGCTTTGAGCGCAGGGTTTGAGCACTGGATTTGAGCACAGGCTCTGAGCGCTGGCTCTAAGCACCAGCTCGCCTGGCCGCTCGCCTCGCCGCTCGCCTCGCCGCTCGCCTGGCCGCTCGCCTGGCCGCTCGCCTTGCCACTCGCCTGGCCGCTCGCCTGATCGCCCGCCTGGTCGCTCGCCTGGCGGCTCGGCTGGCCGCTCGTCTTTGAGCGCCGGCTTTTAGCATTGGCTCTGAGCGCCGCCTCTGAGCGACGGTTCTGAGCGCCGGGTGTGAGCGCCGGCTCTGAGCGCCGGGTATGAGCGCCGGCTCTGAGCGCCGGGCCTGAGCGCGGGCCCGCCTGGCCGCTCGCAACGCCGCTCGCCTGGCCGCTCGCCTGGCCGCTCGCCTGGCCGCTCGCCTGGCCGCTCCCCTGGCCGCTCGCCTGGTCGCTCGCCTGACCGCTTGCCTGCCCGCTCGCCTGGTCGCTCGCCTGGCCGCTCGCCTGGCCGCTCGCCTGGCCGTTCGCCTGGCCGCTCGCCTTGCCGCTCGGCTGGCTGTTAGGCTTTGAGTGCAGGCTTTGAGCACTGGATTTGAGCACAGGCTCTGAGCGCCGGCTCTAAGCGCCAGCTCGCCTGGCCGCTCGCCTGGCCGTTCGCCTGGCCGCTCGCCTGGCGGCTCGCCTAGCCGCTCGCCTGGCCGCTCGCGTGGTCGCCCGCCTGGTCGCTCGCCTGGCCGCTCGGTTGGCCGCTCGTCTTTGAGCGCCGGTTTTGAGCATTGGCTCTGAGCGCCGGCTCTGAGCGACGGTTCTGAGCGCCGGGTGTGAGCGCCGGCTCTGGGCGCCGGCTCTGAGCGCCGGCTATGAGCACCGGTTCTGAGCGCCGGGCGTTAGCGCGGCGGGAATGAGCCCCGGCCCGCCTGGCCGCTCGCCTTGCCGCTCACCTGGCCGCTCGCCGGGTCGCTCGCCTGACCGCTCGCCTGGCGGCTCGCCTGGTCGCTCGCCTGGCCGCTCGCCTTGCCGCTCCCCTGGCCGCTCGCCTGGCCGCTCGCTTGGCCGCTCGCCTGGCCGCTTGCCTGGCCGCTCGCCTGGTCGCTCGCCTGGCCGCTTGCCTGGCCGCTGGCCTGGTCGCTCGCCTGGCCGCTCAGCTGGCCGCTCGTCTTTGAGCCCGGGCTCTGAGCGCCGGCTCGCCTGGCCGCTCACCTGGTCACTCGCTTGGCCGCTCGGCTGACCGCTCGGCTCTGAGCGCCGGCTTTGAGCGCCGGCTCTGAGCGCCGGCTCGCCTGGCCGCTCGCCTGGCCGCTCGCCTGGCCGCTCGCCTGGTCGCTCGCCTGGCCGCTCGCCTGGTCGCTCGCCTGGCCGCTTGCCTGGCCGCTCGGCTGGCCACTCTTCTTTGAGCGCGGGCTCTGAGCGCTGGCTCGCCTGGCCGCTTGCCTGGACGCTCGCCTGGCCGCTCGGCTGACCGCTCGGCTCTGAGCGCCGGCTCGCCTGGCCGGTCGCATTGCCGCTCGCCTGGCCGCTCGCCTGGCCGCTCG